TCACTCACTCATATGCACACATACATGTGCATACACATACACATGCACAAGCAACGCACCTACCTACCTACCTACCTACCTACCTACCTACCTACCTACCTACCTACCTACCTACCTACCTACCTTAGCTACCTACCTAGCTATGTATGCATACATACATACGTACGTACATACATACACACGTACATGTACATATACAGGCTGTGGGTTTGTGCGTAAAAACATACATACATACATACATACATACATACATACATACAGACAGACAGACAGACAGACAGACATACATGTTTTTTGCAACAGTGGACGTCGCCTTTGTTTGCTTTGCCTGCTCGCGGCAAAGGCGGCCGTTCCTGACGAGGAACCACTAGCTGGCATGCTTAGCATGGTCCGATGTCACTTTCCCTTCAGCGTGGACCTCGGTGAGAGCTGAACTCTGCGCCCGTGTTGGAGCTCTTGTCAGTGGATCACCTGTGCCCAACAGCAGAGGTCAGACAGATCACATCATAGTCCCATGACAACAGCTCTCTGCCCGCCTTCGTAAGCAGCATCCTGCGTTGCCGAGCATGAATGCACGGGCACTCTGTGCATAAATTGCATATGCTTGCTAAATGGTGGTGCAGGTGAGAGAACGACAGAGCCAGCGTTCGCCGCTCGGAGCAAATACTCTGACCTCTGTGACTCAACAAATCAGCCACTTCTTACCTCCGACTTCAAGCCTCGCGGAGGAAGTGACTTGAGCGTCAGCTTTGCTTCACGTAGCAGAGGCTTCAGGTTTTCACATACTGTAGGTTGCTCGGGATTCGGCTGGGCAACACTAACCCCCCACAAGTATCACGAGTATGGTCGAACATCAACTGCAGAGGCCATGTTTTTCAGACAGCAAGCAGTACGTTACATTGGTCCAACTGGCCCGAGCAGTGCTGCCTGTGTGCTTCGAAGAAGAATGACTGAAACCTGCATCTGGCTACAGACAAGCACTCGTCCTTGCTGTCTGCCCGTCGAGGCAGCCTGGATGGTGCGCTGCCTCAGCACACAAGCGCCTCGTCCTCACGCCTACGAGGTACCACTAGACTCTACTAGACTCTACTAGACTGAGCCAGATGGCGAGTTGGAGGGCCAAGCGCCTTCGAACACGAGCGATCACACAGCTCAGTTGATGCGGATGGGTTCGCAGGCTGGAAATCGGGCTGATCCTTGGGAGGGTGATTCTCCAGCAAGTGTGTCGCCCATCTATCTCGAGCTTGCTTGGTACAAGAAGGATGACTCTGTATTCGGAGTCTGCATGCTGGCATTAGTTCCCCAAGCCTCTGCTTGTGGTTCTGCGTAAGCTTTGGCTCTGCCACGGCGCAAGGGTGGCAACTCCTGGAAGCAATGCAAAAGGATATTACCTGTCTCGTCTATTACGGTGTGCAGAATCCACAATGAAGCACCATCTCTGAGAATAACGCTTCCCTTCGTCTGGAAGTCCGTGCACCGGCCTGACAGCTGGCATGAAAACCTTACCTGGCCAGTTCTCCAGCTTTTGCACCAGTTGCATGCTACAGTAGCCTGCATTCAATTCACAACAAGATACATGAGCTGCTCTCCTATCGGCCTCCGGATCGCCTGCGGCCTGCAACGGACAGGGAAGTAAGGAATGGTGATCATGATGACAACACTTTCCAACTTCGCAGAAAGACCTTGGGCTGTGCCTTGGCCCAGAGCCTTTGCTCGGCCTCCACCAGTCGCAGCGCACTCCTTTGAAAAATGCTACGGCCGGTTGCACGACGTCCGTGTTCTAGATCCTTGGCTTGGAGTTTAGCACAGGATTAAGCAAAGCTCCTGTCGGCATCTTCATCGCGTGCGACACGAGTCCTTCGAGATCTTGTTCGTCCTCGCTTGTCAAGCACACCAGGACTGCAGCAAGTGTTGCATGCCAGATGTTGTTTGTGTGCCTGCATGGTCAGAAGCGCAACTTTTCTTGATCTCTCAGAATCATCTCAACGTCGCAAGGCTGCAAGGGGACCTAAAACTAAATCTGGCCACTCGTCAAGCTTTGCGGCCAAGCGCTCGTCTGACTCTGCCTCCAAAAGCAAGTCTTGCTCTCGCTAATAAAACATGAAAAGCACGAAGTTGCCAGGCATTGGTTGAGGTTGCAAGGACAAGTTCTGTATTCCTAAAATCAGGGCTTCCCAGGGCTCCCTGCCATCTTGTCAACTCGATGACCACCGACCTGCAAGCCGGGAGGATATGGAATGGAACGGTGGCCGTCTAACAGCCTGACCCCGGCAGAAGGGGCACCCAAGGACACTGGATAGACACCTATTCGGAAGACAAGGCTCAAAGGCCTACTTCAAGAATCAAGGGACCTGGTAAATCGGTACGTACACCCACACCTAGCAGTCCCAACACAGGGTCACTCAAGCCTGCACCCTCCAAACATCCCAAAAGACCGTGCCGAACGACCCAAAAACATAAAACTGCCACGCTGCCTTAAACAAGAAAAAACTAAAGAAAGCACGAAATCTTAAGCCCTAAATCTCAACGCCCCAAGAATTAAACCCCGAAAGCCTAACAACGGTTAAGTCTACACGGTCCAAGCCTAAAACTCCAAACCCTGAACACCCTTAGGCCGAAACCAAAGCCGACACTCTTCAAGACGTAGAGCCAGTGAAATCACACCCAAACACAACAAAGCCCTTCGAACCGTGACACCCCTGAAGTTCTGCACGACAACACTCATAATGCCTGAAATCCTGAAACCATTCAAACTTAGGGGAACCTCTTATGCACAAGGGTCTATCCAAGTAGGCGTCTGCGCATAGGAGTCTTGCCGTTCAAGGGACAAGATCCTGTCTACAGGCAGCTGTGAAGTGTAAAGAACACACCAGGGGCCTTCCCTCCTGCCTTCCTGTCCCTCACCAAAAACTAGAAAGCACACGACTTATGCTGTGTTCAGAACACACACTCTGGTAAAACTAAGTGGGGGTGGAGTCCACGACTCGACGGCTAACCAGCTTAAAAACCTGCCCGAATGGAGGCCAGGTTTCCACCCAGAATACGAGAGGCCGCATTGAAGCAACCAAGTGGTTTGGCCACCAGAGATATGCACAAGTCCCTTCGATGCTTTCACATTGACATGCTCTGCAACTCCACTCTTGCGCAATCGCTCCTTGCTGGGACAAGCCCTCAAGCCTCAACGCCGTGCCGAACTCCAGCCACTAAGCCAAGAGTGCAGGTCTTCCTTGAGCAGACCACCCCGAAGTAGAGGAAACCGACACTCGAGGAAGCCGTTTCCAGGGCTTCTGCGTTCTTCGGCTTGAGGCTGGGAAGATGGAAACAATTAGTTGAAAGAAAAAACTGCCGTAACTGGCCTGCACCGACACGAAGATGGAGCGAGCGTCTTCACGCCTCAAAGCCTGCGAAGGAGTTGAGTACAGTCTTGAGAATTGTCGATACGACCGCACCCTTGGGCAATGATAGCCCAGTACACAGAACATGAAAATGTGGAATCCAAGCATGCGGAAGCCTAGACGGAGTCTCAAAACACCTCCCGACTCTACACAGTGTTCGGCACTCCTGCAGGAGGAGCTCATGCTCGGCGAAGGGTATCACCGTATCGTCCTGGTACACATTCTAACTAGCAACCTGCCGTAAACTGTGTTGCATTGTAGTGTTAATCATTCTAAACTCTCTGAAAGGTGTGGAAGGGCAAGCTCAAGTGGAACGACATGGAGAGCTGATGTACAAGATTCAATGAGCAGTGGCGCGGCCTCGGCCCATACAAGCAGAGAAGGCATACCAAGGCCTTGCAGGGCCTCTCCTTAGAAAGACTCATAGAAAATGAAAGCAAAGCCAGGCACGGTCTTCTAGAAAACACGGCTGATGTCAGCAATACCCCGAAGCCTTACCAACCGCCCCTGCTGATGCTTAGACTTCGCGGCGGACAGAAGCATGCTTTTGAATGTTTTGGCTGGCATGTCCATTGATGTTGCCGTACATTTGACGATTCCGCAGTGGTTTGGGCGGGCCTGTGACTGACGGAAGCTGGCGCATGGCTTGGCCTAAAGGCTGGTTTGGCTTCAGCGGGGTGGCACTTGCCAGCGAATGATTCCCACTGACAAAACAACAGGCATCATCCCGTAACTATCACCAGTGCAGTGGTCAACGGCTTGCCCAGTGGCTTCAGCAGGGGCTGAATGCTGTTACTGCGGTTACTGCTGTAGATGTTCTCATTCCTACTGTCAGTATTGACGAAGCCGCCAAAACCTCCGACATCGTGAAAGTTTGTGGAGCACCAGTGGCACGAACCTCGAGGTGCTCACTCTTCCAAATGTTTGGCGTACTTGCCGCCCCGAACCGTGCAAACCTGAGCATTGCCAAAACAGAAGATATTCCCCTTGCGATTGTAAGCCCGCCCTGTATTGCGCAGCTTGATTCGGTATCGTTTGTCTCCAACACTTCTTCGCACCTTTACATTCATGAGCAGCATTACTACTCTGTTAGACAGAATCGATACCTGATACTGCTACGGTATTTCTAACATGGCTAAATCTCGTGGAGCAGCAGCGTCACCAACAGGCGGCAGATGCAGGCAATGAAAATGGTTTGGCTTGGATTTGCTTCAGCTTGCGGGAACAAGAATCCACGCAAGCCAAAAGATCGTGAAGCCAAAAAAGCCGGAAAGCCAACCAACATCAACGACCTAAAGGACTGCACAGAGAGAGAATCGGTGCCAGGTGCCGCACCTGGCGGGGCAGGGCACGCCAAGCAAATCCCTGAAGCAGGTCGCCTGGCAGCTGGAAGCCAACGCAAATTAGCATCCAAGTCACACTTCGACATACTACAATCATGACATCCCAGGCACCCATGTTCGCGAAGCTGCTGACAGAGCTCCACAGCCCGCGCCCCACCTTGACTAGCTTTCGAAACAGCTTCACCGCAGCAGGGCACAAGGCGAAGCATGACACAGCTTGGAGTAGCTCCCAACGATTCACGCAAATCTAGTTTCAAGTTGCAAGCACAGACCTGTTCGAAGGACTTAACTGGCACTGCCCTCACGGATCTCATGTGAGCTCCGGCTCGAGTGCTCAGGAAATCGCCCCAGCTTTTGCCATAGACGAAAAGCGGCGCAGGGCCTGGTCGGTAAAGAAGCAGAGAGCAGGCGGCAGTGGCGCCGGACATCACGGCCTGTCGTCTCCTGCATCCAGCCGGCAATGGCCTGCACAGCCAAAAGAGGCAACGACGCAACATTCTTCCGGCCGTTCTCTGGCCTCGAGAGCCGCCACAGCATCGGCAGGGCTGCCTGAAAGTGGGGGTCGTTTGCCAAACATCTTCCCAATCCGACTGGGACCTTCCTGCCACGGACAGAACTCTTCGAACCTAAGCCTCCTGTTAGTTCACTTGCCGCGTCCACATCTCCGTCTTCGACAGCTGCAAAAATAAGCAGCGCCTGAAGCTGGAGCCGTGGCCTCACCTGGGAAAACATCCGTCAGCGGCCCCCCAGTGAAAGAAACGCAACGTCGAGCTCAACAGCACGTGCTGCAAACGCGGGAAACGTTGAAGTTTTCCTTTCGTCTCGAAGAGTGCTTTTTGGGGCAGTTCCAGAGCCTCGAGACGAACCACTCGGGAAAAAAGGGACCAGCTCAGCTGAACGGGTCACGAAGAACTTCCCTGCTTGGTTGATACACGACAGAGGTACACCGCAGGGCAAGCAAGACAAACACAATCAAACACCCAGGCGCAAGAGCGGAGAGCCTCTGTTCATGTTGCCGTGACGATGTTTCTGGGGTTTCACAAGGATCCTGGCTTCCTGAAATCGCGCTCGGATCGAAACTCGAAAGCGTGGTTTGGGGAAACACGCAGTCGGGAAACTGGGCCGGAGTCCTGAATCGACCCGTGTTCTGAATCGAGAAATTTCGCAATGCGGATCTTTTCGCCTCAATGGAGAAGTTTGTGTTTCCTAACGCAAGCAGTACAGTTAGTTTCCTGAATGGAGCATTCCGAAACAAATTTGAGCCTCGTAATTATGCACTCCCCACCCTGCATCTTTTGAAGTCAACAGCTCCACACAATACTTCTGACATCCACGGCAAAGATAAAACACGTCACAGCATATCGCAGCTATTCAATCCGCTGCATGCAAACAGATCAAGCCGGTTTCTGTTTGTGTAATGTCGACCCTCAAGACGAGTACGCTTGGCCACAACCGTGCCAGCAGGCGCAATAGCAGCAGCAGTTCGTACAAGCGGATCAGCATCAGTAGGTGTAGAAGCTTCAGCAAATCTGTCGGCACATGGAGAGAGACTGTGAGATCAGGACACGACTGGACTCGGCTACTCCTAACGACTTGCTATGTCAATGCATCATTCAGGTTCCCACATGAGTGGAGGTTGGGTAGAACTGCGGCCACCTTCCGCCGACGGAGGCCCTGGAAACTGTCAACTCAAAGGGCTCCACCAGTTCATAGCACAGTCGTCAACGCGAACTCATCGCAGCTAGTTGCAGCACAATGCGCGGCATGCCCTGCACCTCCATGAGAAATGTCCACTCGAACACCTAGCATGGGATGTAAGATGCCCAGTCTCGTGGTAACACCCGACTAAGGTGGCCACAATCTCTGGTTGCGCAGACATCCCGTGAATCAAAAGCACGATCGCCATTGCTTTCTCACCGAGTGGAACCGAGAGCTTTGCCTGGCCGAGGCACAGAAATCAAATGACCGGCTGTCCACTTTCCTTCGCACCTCGATTTTGCCAACCGGAGTGTCCACATGCCAGGTCTCCGCCTGTGAGCTCAGACTGTAGAAGCATGGAAGCAACAACGAATTTCACCGCAGGATCCAGAGCTCGATTTTGTACGATGCTGTTCTTCTTAAACGATCTCCTACGGCCTACGGTCCTACACAGTGAAACAGCTGGAAAAGCACCCGCGGTGCACAAGGCCAGGATGAACTGCTCAGTCAGACTCGATACTTTCGGCACTGGCAGTGCTTGCCATGCGAAGCTTCGTCCGTGCAGCTTCATCTCCTTCCCCAAGCCACTCATACTGTGGCTCCGGCATCTCCCTGAAGCTGCCAGCGACAAAAAAAAAGCGCAAATAAGACAAAGGCTATTGGACGGTGGCAGTTGCCCCTGGCCTGGGCCAGTAGTTGAGCCAAGGTGACATGGACAGCATTGCTGGGACCACAAGCGTGCGGACTAGGAACGTGTCCTCGGCCATAACACCAGTCACACGATGTACCAGTCAGTGCTTTCATGGTCAGGAGATCAAGAGATATTAATAAACTGCCAAGTCTCAACCACGATGCTAAACACGAACACAAAGCCTTGCTGATTCATCATTGGCAGCTCCTCGATTGAAGCGGACTTCCAACTGGTGAAACAGCAAGCAACACAAGACTTCTTGTACAGGCACGATGTCTGTTCTTCCGTCTGTCTGCAGGCCGGGCTCAGACGTCAGGACCAAGGCCAGGAAAGTGAGGCCCAGAATCAGTCCAGCAGCCGAGATGGTTCCGCCGGTTGCAGACAGACCAAGCTGAATTGACTCGCGATCTCCAAATCCCTGGCCACAAAGCATGTCCCTTCACTTTCTGCAAACTCCGGAAACAGCTTCTCTGCACGTTGTCTAGCTCCCGCTCCTCGCTGCGGAATTCAAAGACCCGCTCGAAAAGGAAGAAATCATAATCAAGAGCCAGACCGATAAGGAATGTCAGGCTGAAGACCGGAACCGTCCAGTCCTGAGTTCGAACACAACGCAGGATAGTCAAAGAAACTCTAAAGATGAACAGTGCTGGGGACGGGTCCAGACCATCCCTGCTGGTGGGAGCAAGTCCTGTTCGACATGGCTACGTGACACCTTCCACGAAACACTCCTGAAATCCGCGCTTGAACGTGATTCGGAAAAATAACTGAGATAAACGAAAACTACTCCGGAAGACACTGCGGACAAATTCAGTAAACATGGGCGAAAATTCGCAAAACATCCAGAGTTGGATTGGGTTGGATTGGACGACCAGGAGGTCGATTGCAACCGGGGGGTGTCACAGAAAACCCGGCAACACGTTTCACCACGAAGGGCTCGATTGCAGCCGGTCAAGCTTCGCCAGATTGCAGCCGGGGAGTCCCCGAAAACACACCAACACTTCACCACGAAGAGCTCGTTGTAACCGGTGAGCCCCGAAGATCCACCAACAAACTTCCCCACAAAGAGGTCGATTCAAGCCTGGGGGTGGCCCCGACAGCCCACCAACCAGCTTCGTCAAGAAAAAGTCGATTGCAGCCCGGGAAATCCCCGAAAATACAACAACACATTCACCACGGAGACTCCAGTACAAACGCTGAGCGCCAACGTCAGCGCACCAACAAGCTCTGGCACGAAGAAGTAGAGGTCGATCGCAAGGGGGGGGAAGAGGGAAGAAAAAATCAGAAAGAGGCAAGGAGAAGAAGCCAGAGAAAGAAACCAAGAATAACAAAAGCAAATTCAATCCAGCACCGTCGCCCCGTCGTGGACCAACCCCTCAGGACCGGTGCTGATTGGGCGTGGTGACGGACCACCAATTCCGTAACCACCATCCTTAGTGCCGCCTCCTGGGTCTTGCCTAGCGACCTTAACCAAAGGAAGAGCCGTGAAAGAACCCGGGAGAAACATCCAGAGTGATTCCGCAAAAAGGCGAGTACTGCCCCCACTCCCACTCCCACTGCCAACTCCTGCGACTGCCAAGCCACTGCGGCTGCTGCTGACGACAAACTCCAAGCCCTACAACACCGACAACAAGATATCGGCTGGCAAACCCAAAGCCCCACACCTTAAACGGCGTTGTTGGCAAAGCCCAAACCTGAAAAGAAGATCGTGGAAAGTCTTAACCCAAAAAAGGATCCCGAGCAAAGCCCACACCCTCAAAACGAAACATGTTCGTGACTAAAACCCTGAAAAAATGTTGGCTGGTAAGCACTAAACCCGAAAAACTGATCGGGTGGCAAAGCCACAAACCCGTAGGAACAAGAATTTTGGGCTCAGGGTTTTCCAACCAAGAATTTGTTGCTACGGGTTTGGGTTTTGCCACCGGCAATGTTGTTTTTCAGGGTGTGGGCACATGTGCTTTGCTCGGGATCTTCAGGGTTTGGGATTTTCCAGGACCTTCTTTTGGGTTTGGGGCTTGCCAGCCGACATCTCCTGCTAATGTTTACGGCTTGCCGATCGACGGCTTCTTTTCGGTTTAGACGTTGCCAGCCATCCAAGATCTATTAGGTTAGAAAACCCTGAGCCCTAACAGATGGTGGATGGCCGGCAACGTCTAAACCGAAAAGAAGCCGTCGATCGACAAACCGTAAACATTGGAAGGGAGATGTCGGCTGGCAAACCCCAAACCAAAAAGAAGATCCTGAAGATCCCGGGCAAAGCCCACACCCTAAACAAACAACATAGCTGGTGGCAACGCCCCAAACCTGTAGCAACAAATTCTTGGTTAGAAAACCCTGAACCCTAACAGATCAGCAGAGAAGCGGAAAAGCAGAGAAGCAGAAACAAAACAAGCAGAAAGTCACAAGCAAACAAAAGCAAAAGGCAAAACGGCCAAACCAAAACGGTAAAATCAGAAAATAAAAACATCCGATGTTTGCTGGCAGACACCAACCTAAAGGAAGATCGCTGTAAATCCTAACCTTCAGGAACATCCCGGGCAAACCCCACACCCGAAAGAAAAAGACAACTGCTGACTACCAAACCTTTACAAGGACATGTTGGCTGGCAAACCTTAAACCCGAAAAGCAGATCGCAGCAAGCAAGTCCCCAAACTCGATTTGGTTCATCGTGGATGGCTGGCAATGCACAAGATTGGGAAATCCTAAATATTGGAAGGAGATGTTGGCTGGGCCAAACCCCAAACCCCCAACGAGTGGTAAACCCTAAACATTAGAAGGGGATGTCGGTTGGCCCCAAACCCTAAAATGGAAAACCCCAAACCCTAAGAGCAGATCCTAGGCGGCCAAGCCCAAATCGAAAAGAGGCTGCATATTGGCAAACCGCAAACATTAGAAGGAAATGTTGAATGGCAACACCCAAACTCCAAAAGCAGAACCAGGAAAATCGCAAACCCTAAAGTAAAGATGATCCCAGGCAAGGCCTAGACACTGAAAGAAACAACGACATGTTGGTTCCTAAACCTTACAAGGACATGCTAGTTGGAAAACCCTAAACCCGAAAAGAAGATGAACCCAAACCCCAAAACGAACAGGATGTTGGTTGGCAACGCCCAAACCCAGGCAAAGATGTCGCTTGGCAAATTGGAAAGCGATGTTGGTTGGCAAACCCCAAACCCTAAAAGAAGGCCGCAGAAAATCCAAACCATTCAAACCCCTAAAAAAAGATCCTGGGCAAAGCCCACACCTTAAAGAAACGGTACGTTGGTTACTAAACCTTAAGTTGGTAACCGCTAAACCCGAAAAGAACATCGCCGTGGCAAAGCCCCAAACCCGAGGCAAAACCCTTGGATGAAAAAAGCCTGAACCCCATTTGCGGATGGCTGGCAATGCCTAAACCGGCAAACCCTAAACATTAGAAGGAAATGCTGGTTGGAAAACCGTAAGCCCCAAAAAAAGATCGTGAAAAAAAACCGAAACCCAAACCGAAAATTCTGGGCGGCAAAGCCTACACGCTTAAAAAAACAACATGTTGATTGCTAAACCTTGAAAAGGACATGTTGCTTGGTAACACTAAGCCCGAAAAGGAGATCGCGGGTGGCAAAGACAGTGAGATACTGGATGGCAAACCCTAAATGGGCCCAAATACCGTTGCGGGTCTGCAGCATTCTGGCAGCTAAAGAAGAAGCAGCCACACAGCTCTTTCGCAAAGTGCAACCGCATTGTCAAGCTCGAATTGCGCGGAGAGCCCTCATTTACAAGCCCCGTTCTTTCAGGCATGCTGCGCTGACGGGCAACGAAAGCATACCTGAACAGAGTAGCGATTTGCAGCCGTGCAAGAGGCCATAGGTTCACCCGGTTGAACAATACTCTTGCACCTTCTGAACCCAGGCAGGATGCCATTAAATTGAAATCACAGAAACCCTGGAACAGGCATCACTTGAGTTGTCCGACAGGGGCGTCTCGGATGCGGGTTTGAACTGATAACTCTCCTGGTAGGCCCAGAGGTTCCAAGATCCCATCTTCGTAAACGAAGAAAGCTGCTCCATAGGTCCAGGTGATCGGAACGATCACCGTCACAAAGAGCTTGAAGGGCACCAGGAAAGCATTGAACCACAGCGCAATGAGCGAAAAACATATGAGCACCTCAACAGAAAGAAACGCTACAAGGACCCAAACATAGCACAGCGCGAAAGTATGGCCTGTTCACAGCTCACTGAGACGAGGACGCAAATCAAGAAGCATGTCGGCAATGCTGAAGACGTGACATTGATCAGGTCGGTGACCACAGAAGCAGGTGAAAACATGAAGTACCTCAGCAAACACCGAAAGAGAAGCCGCCCTGAGACCTTGCTTGGAAAGTCGATGATTAAGTGGTCTTCGAGGTCTCCGAGATGAGAACTTGTCGGAAGCTGCAGTTGAGACAAGGCTGGGTCCTGTCCTGATGCTAGGCAAAATCTGGTTGGACATCGCCAGGGCACCGCAGCTGAGGGATAGTGGCACGCCCACGGAGCTGCATCTCTTGCAAGACCTGTGCCACCTGAGCCTCGAGCTTGAAGGCCTGCGGTCCCAACGGGTCCATGACGGGGTTGAGCACCGTCAACATTGCGTTCTTGCGAACCATCTCTTCCCACATGAGGTCTAGGTGCTCCGACGTCTGTGTCAAGAAGACATTCCGGGCCAGGAAACTCTTGCGCACCAAGTTCATTTGACTTAAGCTTGGGCAAACAAGCTGTCCGAAGACTTCGTTAAACATGCTTTTTGCGAATGGCAATGGGGAGTGGATGTAGCTCTTGTCGATGGGGACACTTGGACTTTGGAAACTCTTCGCTCCCAGTTCGTAAGGAGTTCCCTCCGTTCTGGCTATCAACGCACGAATCATCTCGCAGTTCAGCTGGAACAAATCTTCATTAACAAGCGGCGCCGAAATGGTACCAGCGCTTTGTGCATCGGATTCCACCGCGTTGGTGGCAAATATCAGGATTGGCCTCGATGCAGAAAGACACAAAGCAGTGCCCAGTGTGCCGAATGTCCAAAGCCGAGCAGCATGAGAGTCATCTCGAAGTCAAAGTCCTGTCGTGATCCCTGTGAGATCGCGAAAGTCTTTCTGAATGGGTCTCTATGGCTCCTGCATGATCTCAAGACTGGTGTTGAAGGCCCGAGAGCCTCGAGGCATTGTCATCTCGAAGCTGTGGCCCATTTCCGTGAATCTGAGCACAAGAGTCAGGAAGCACGAGCAGCTGTGCCACTGCTCATGCGAGGCAGAACCTGAGAAGCCCGCTTAAAATTTAGAACATCGAAGTTCTGAAGGAATCTTGAAGTTAACGGCATCATGAGCCCATAGACAGTCACAAAGGCGACGAGATTGCAGGGAAACGCCGTGAGAATCTTGCCGAGGCAGTAATATGGCCCTTTGCGGAACTGTTCGATGCGCCGCATGGCTTCACCTGCACCACTTGCGACAGTGTCCGTGAGCAGGGTCAAGCGAAGTCATGCAGCGCAGAGAACCAGGGCTCTAAGCGTAATGTCACTGTGCTGCATACAGACCATTTTGATAGAGCTCTTGGTGATTATGCTATAAGTCAGCGCCCTGCCAAGCTGGGCTGAGACGGGGAGCGGATGGTCTAGACAAGCTAAGCACCCATGGAGGTTGAACCCAGAAGCATGCCCGGTCCTGTTGGGCTCAAGGGCTCTACCTCCGTGGGCACCCCGGCATCTGGACCCAGCCACGGCAAAATTGCCAATACCGGGGCCACGAATGTGAGCTGAGCTAAGACCTCAAGTCGAAGACGGCGAACTCCCCAAAGCAGCGCCCGCAAAATGTTAAGCATCTGAAAACATACACAGAACACAGAGCACGGCTCTGAGCAACCGGCACAAACCATGATTGCAGATGCGGCAGCTATTCCAAATGTTTTGAACATATCGGGTAGACCGAGCATCACTGACCAGCAAATTGACAGAACAACGCCTGTGCAGGACATGTACTTCCACTCACCCGGTGCAAACTTGCAATTGCTGCTTACATGGCATCTCTGCTTGCCTGATACAACGACGATGCTGCCACTGGTCGCTACCATCTGTATAACAGCCTCCTCGACCGATGCACCAGCTTCCCGCTCAGTCTTGTAGCGAGTCAGCATGAAAAGGGCATAATCCCAAGATAGCGCCATGATTAGCATCAACATGATCATAAGCGCGTAGTAACTGATCGTCATCCCCGCACAGGATACGAAGTACATAAATCCAAAACCGACAATGATCTCGAATAACATGGGTGTCAGTGCCAGCAGAAGCAGTCTTGCACTTCTTAACACATATCCAAGAATAAGAATCGGAAGCCCAACAGTCTTGATTTCGTGCAGCACGAAGTCCAAGATGGAGACCTGGAGCTGAGGAAGCATGTGCAATTCTACAAAAACACCTAGAAGAACCAAGAATAAACGAAGCAGGCACATGTTCAAAAGCCTTCTGGGCCAAATGGCTTTCATTTCATGGTCCAAAATGATATTACCTGTCAGCTTGACTTCCATCGCACCTTCACCGCCGAACTCATCTATAGACTGGATAAATTCACGTAGTTGCACAACGAAGTCTTCTGCGTGCTGTTTCAGCTGAACTGGAATTGACCACGTCCACATCAGCATAATGCTCTGATGATCTTTGGACTTGAAGGGATTCAAAAGCTGGTGATGCCCAACAAAATCGAAGAAGGATTGAAAAGAAGCCGCGGAGGCTGGATGCTCGTAGCCGAATCTCAAAACTCGATCTTTGATCTGCTCGGCGTAGACTTCTGCCACGCTGTTGCTTTGCACATCGACACACCAGGTTTTGCACTTCATCACCACCTCGGCATGGGAGGGTTTGTCCGGTGAAAGCCAGATCGGAATGGACACAAAATATAGGTCTGCCAGACTAAGCCACCATCTCCAGCCGCTTCGTAGATGCACTGTGAAATTGCCTTTGCGGCACCAACCCTCACATGAGAAGGATGAGATTGCGTGAGCATGCGGTTCGACATATGCAGGGACGGGAATAAGGTGGCAACTTCGATAAAGCAACTAGAAGCATACTCGGACAGTATCGTAAACTTCGTAAACGTTTAGGGGAAGGTTTGGAAGTTCTGTTCAATACACGAAGCTTCTCCTGCGAGACATGCACAGCTGTGATTACTGGCATTTTGCACGGGGGCGTTTGCGACAACGCATCAACGTATCAACACACGTTCTTGTTTGCTATTGACAAATACCTTCGGGACGGGCACTGTCGACGAAGCCGCAAAAAGACAACATGCTGAGCAGCCCAAAACACACAGACATCTTAAGGCCCCAGGACAAAGGTGCGAGACCCGAACTGGGCGGAGGCAACAAGCCAAAGAAAACTTCGGCACTTGGTGCACGTGAAAACGAGACAATCATGAGCATGAGCATGCAAATTGGAAGGCTGTCGGCATGTATTGATCCAACTGGAACCACATGTGTGCTCTGATCTATTTCTTCCTGGGTCCAATTTAGATGAAATCTCTGCAGCGTTTGCGATGCGATTCTACATCCCCCGAAACAAAATCCAGGACCGTGATGCGAGTCAAGCACTTCCATAGCTGCCGCGCTCTGCGTGCCGGCCGGAGGTGTCTTGTCCATACCAACCTTGGGGCAGTCCCGTTCTGTAGGCTCCGGCTGCATCTTGGGCGCTGTTTGCAGCTCGGCCACGGTGCGTCGCAGCACCAGCACCAATGCTGGAACGGTGAAGATCAGTGTTGCAACAATCCACGCGGCGACGAGGCAGAATCTATGTCTGTACACATTCCGCGCAACAACATACATGCACGCATCCATGTAGCTTGTTTCCTTAGATCTTGCGGGCCCACACATGCATTGCAAGGCTACACGCACTCCAACATCCGAACTTGCCGCGGGATTTTGGCCAAAAAGAAACTTGCTTTGCAAGCGTCATGCTCTGGACGATTCTTGTCCCGCTCATCCCAATTCTCAACAGGGCCATCGGACATTGCCCGAACAATTCCAAATGTTGATAGATAGTGCTAGTGGCATGAGCTTATGAAGTGTCTGCGTGATAGTTGCTGTACGAATGCAGAAGACCACGACAACATGCAGCAGCTATTTCTTCATACGGCATGTCGTCACTGTATAGACTACTTTGAGTGTTTGGGCCCAAGTGCCATGTTCTGCTCGTGTTGCTGCACACTGAATTAAGGGCTTGAGGAAAGCACAAACGAGTCCAGGACAGGCTTGTCCCACGAGGACACTTGCAACGAATGCGTGTGGATGAACACACAGGCGCACGTCAGGGAAGCTTGCAGCTGCCATGAGTCCTTCAGAGATTCCACTTAACGACGGATCCTGATAGAATATGTAGTATGAAGACAGCAGTCTCCTCATGCCCAGGCACGCATGGCTGAACTTGACTATCTGACTGAGACTGATCACGCCGCTAGGTACTGGCCCAACTGCATCGTACAGAACCAACATGAACAAGATGACACAACTTGTCTTCACTGATGATGTTCCCATTCCCTTGAAGGCACAGAAGCGATTGAGCCAAGATAACTCGGCAGGTGGTTTGTGCCGCACGACGTTGTCGCAATCTCAAGGAAACGGCCAGAGATGTGGTCCTGCAGGGGCCGAGACGCGGTACTTCACGTCTTTGGCTTTGGGCTTATGGCGGTCGCTGTCATCTAAGATGAACTGCACCTCGCAGAAAGAAAGCAAAATCAAGTCAATGCTGGGGCGGGCATCTGCTGGTGACACGAGGCCGCAAGGCGACCTGCCGGCACGCCTCCATTCTCTTGCCGTCCCCAGCACATACGTAGTCGGAAGGAGCGCCATCCACAAATGCCCTGCGAGAATCTGAAACCGCAAGCAACAAATCTCACTACTGGCTGCTTGCACTTCCTGCTACTGGCACGATCTGCAAGAGCATCCATCCACTCAGTGAATTTTTTCAACTTTACTACCTCTTGTCAGCTCTGCACACAATAGCACCTGGGTGTCTTCAGGAAGCAGGAATGCCTGCCTGAACTTACACAAGGTGGGACAGGCAGATGGGCTATGAAGAGATGGTGAGACATGCAACCCCTCCTGGCCTTAGGCCTGAGGAGCAAGCTGGGCTGTTCGTTTACACATCTTCTGCCCGTTCTGAAACATCTGGGCGTACAGAAGCACTGAGAATATGAAGAGTCAGCTGGGCGACGAGTCCTCAGCCGCTGCCAGTACCTCCCTCCACAGGCGCAGAGGAGCGGTTCCCTCCGACGATGATGTGCGAGGCATCCTGGCAGAGTCAGCGAGAAGGCCACAAGCCCGCGCAGTGCTACACATAGGTCGAAAAACTCGCAAGAAGTTCCATTGCGTCCCTGTGGAAGGAATTGCCGCGGCCGAAACCGAGTTTTGGATCATCGATGGGAGGCAACCAGCCGTAGGCCTGACATTGTTTCACACCAGAATGGAGACATGACTTTAAATTCCTGCCTGAGAGCTTCTGACCATCCAGCGAGTTCTCAGGGGTACGGAGCAGCGTTTTCTCATTGCCTCGTTTGCTGGAACAACTCGGATGAGCTGTGAGGAAAAACTCTCGAAGCCTCGGTGTGTCTAATGTGGAAGGTCTCCTGCAAGACAGCATGTCTTGCAATCTCTGCTGAAGCTTAGCCGCGAGAGGCTTGGCGTGGACCGGCCTTAGGATTCTTGGGATCGAAAACAGAGTTGTCCTGCAATGCGTGCATTTCACCCTGATGCTTACACTCTTACATTCTCACTCTGTAACCTTGAGCTGGTCGTAGGTGAAGCCGTGCTCCTGATGCTTCGCACTCCAAGGACACCAAAGCAATGATCCAGGCAACACGTGTCGCATCGCAGTCCTTGGACACCGGATGCCTTTCATCCCTGAAATAGCCGAAGTAAGCCTCGGATCTAGCAGCAGACTTTCACCCGACTTGTGCTCCAAGAGCAAGGCAAAAGTCACTGCAAAACAACAGTCAATGTCTTAACACGGATGCTGCAAAAGGACCAGCAGCTCAGTCTATTCGACAAGTAATGCAGAATTCACTCTCAACATTAGCTTAGCCGGCTTAGCCGTGTCATCGATTTATAAGTAAGAGTTTGCAGTTTGCAGTTTGCAGTTTCCGGATTAGCCTACATAAACCTTGGATATTTCCAACGATAACATGGCAGTTCCTGACATTTTCAACTTCACCACCGCTCGCCAGTGCTCTTCATGATGTCTGGCAGTCTTTGCAAAGACCAAGCAGGACTTGCTCTGACTCTTACCCTGTCATCTGTACAAGAGAGCTTTCTGGCTTGGGAAGATATCACAACTTGGGCAGCTGCATTTCTGACCTTGTGCAGGTCGGGCAAGGAGGCGCAGCGCTTTGTTGCGTCGGCATAAGTAAACTTGAGCTCCGTCTGCACCTCTGCACTTGACATATCTAGACTCTAGACCCTCTTGCAGGTTTGCGGGCACCGACCTTGGTCTTGAAGGCCTCGCACCTGGCGGTAAACGCTTCTGCACTTCAAGTGCTGCACTCTGACTTTAAGGAAAGGACACATGGCTAAGGCATGTACTCATCTTTGGTCATTGGCGCAGGGACATTTGCAAGTGGAATCCTGAGTAGCAATCGAGAAGCGCAAGGACTGCCTGCTCAAACAGACCGTCGGACTCAATCCAAGAAGCTTCATCGCGGCCTTTGCAACCTTTCTGTCCTAAAGATATGGAACTAATTACTCCGCTGGGCGACTCGAGCCAAGCACTGCGGAGGTGCACATGATCTACTCATTTAATCTATTCTCCTTGGAACTTCGAGCCCGAGTACCGCTGTGTGACCTCGACGAGCATTCCTTCTTAACCGTGTCCACGGTGTCATTGCCCTCAGGTTGATAGGGGTCCCCCAGCTCACAAACTCCTGGAAGGCACAGCGTGATGGTCGCCAAGCTTCCGCCACTTCCTCTTGAAAGCAAATCAGACACGACATCCTGAAGAAAGTGAAGCGTTCCGACAGGTGGAACTCCAAGAGCTTGACATGCCGCGCCTGCCCTTCTGATAGCTTGCACCGCTGCAGGATCAAGCGTCAATCCAAAGGGTCCGGCACACCTCTGCAGAGTAAGGCGTCCTTTTGGACCCGTCTGAGAATCAGAGTTCTCGTCAGGTAGGAAAGGCATCATGACGTCCGTCCAATCTATCTCCTGCACGCTGCATCTGCAGCGCAGACAAGTACACTCGAACCGCCAGTCTTGCTGCAGCACAACCTTGCGAATGGACGTTGGAGCCATTAGCAGCCCCGCATCCAGGTAAGACCGCGAAATGCGCTGCCCACATGCAATGTCTGACATGGCTACCAGCTTCATGGCCTGAGCACTGGAGTCCCACTCCACTCGTGCGTTTGGCTGGCAGCTGTGCTCCACCATTGCCAAGGCTGCAAACAATCCGAATAAGAAGCGCACATGGCGTATCAACGGACAGGTATGTTCCGACTCGTCCACTGTTTCGACCCATGTCTCTGCATTGACATCACAGCATGCCCTCCACTGGGATAGAATTGGGGCAACGTCTGGACCCAAAGCTTCTAACAAGTCACTGGATAAGCATTTCGAAAGTCTGTCTTGACCAACAGCGCCAACCAAGCTCGATTCCCGGCTCAATTCTTGTGCAAGCTGTTGCTTCTCAACGTCCAAGCCCACGTGCAGGCAAAGGCAGCCGGCCAACAGATCATCCATGGCATCCAGCTCCTCTTCTTCACTGACACAACAAGCCTTCGCTAACCAGATTCCATCAGAAGACCCCAAGACCAAAGGACTTTCTTCTGCCAGACACTGGCCGAGGGTGCATGTGACTTGCGCTTCCAAGCATCTCCCATGACCTCTCACCTGGCAAAGCCTAAGTTGCTGGCGGCTGGTCTCTAGGACACGGGCTTGGAGAAGTGGCCAACGCTCCATGTTCCACTACCGCGCTGGATGTGGGACATTGACACGAGCTGCGCCAGCGCGAGGCTCATGTGCTTGAGGCCACTGGGTTCAAGGCAATTTCAGCAGATTACTGCAATACATAGGACACATCCTACGAAACCATCGCCTCTGTGTGGAACGGAGAGGAACGCCTACATCACGAAAAAGCGTGGCCTCCAGTGGACGAAGATATCACGATCGACCTGAAAACAGCGTCACTTTAGACCTTCTTGTCGTCGCAATCTCGAATGCAAACATGTCAATCAACGCCTCGTCGCACACAATGAAGCCCCAGCCATTCTTTGGGCAGAACGTCTTTATGTACCTGTTCATGCGAGATTGCATGGCATTTATGGGTTTATGGACATGCAGCTTGTTCTCAATGGGTGTCAAAAAATGGCAACACGGATACGACCCTCGCACACCCGACATGGAGTTGGAAGAGCCGCTTGTTGCAGGCACAACTGAAGCTTAAACATGTTCTTTCGGCCTGTGGCCCCTAAGCACTGCATCGACTACCTGAGAACATCGGTAAAAATCTGGGAGCCACACCCGGCATGCGAAGCAGCAGTGGAACTCCGGCCAACCATGACACCAGTGCGAGTCAACTAATCGTACAGACCATCGCTTTGATGTTGTTGGTTAACTTGCACCGTCATTTACAACACGCTTTTGTGCAAGCCCACACACAAGTGCACATCACGCCCAAACGCAAGAACCACAGTACAAACAAGTGGCATTTTTCAGAAAGGGTACGTCTGCCGGCATTAATAGCTGTGCTGCCACCATAAAAACACCATTTTTGCCGTGGCAACTGTGGCCTCACTCGGAATGTGTCGAACATGGAAAGCATCGTCTGCACAGAGCATTGACACACAACATGCCTATTACTCCTCCTGGTCCTACTGTTGCTCTGCTACTGCTACTTCTGCTGCTGCCGCTACTGCCGCTGCTGCTACTACCACCACTGCACAACCACGTCTAGTTATGCTTCCTCTGCCGACTTGAGTGAAAAGCAAACGCTGCGCACGGAACTAAAGATGCTGCAGCACCCGAAGTCATTCCTGCAAACAAAACCTTAAAAATGTTGAACATGAATGAACCCTTACCTGTGCTGGAACGATGGGAATACGAAACACTCTGCGTTCGACCGTCGGACCGTCATCTTGCAAAGCGAGGTCCAAATTGGGAATTCCAAAACCAAAACGTTCTTTAGGCAGTATGGGAGTTGGTGCAATGAAGCAAAACATGATGTATCTGTTGAAGACTCGGGCTTAAGGACTGAGGTGACGCATCAGTGACATCGAGTATTGACTTAGGTGGGAACATCATCTAATGCATTGTAACTAGAGTCTAAAGTTCATAATGATGATGAGGATTCCAGGCTCACGGCTCACAACACACACACACACACACTCAAACCCTCAGCTGCATTCCCACACAAACGCAATTCCCGACGAATCTTTCACACTTCGGTCTTTGCCCTTCGTTGAGCTTGAGCCAATTCACCTTCAGTACAATCCTGTGCAGGGGTCATGCTTCTGATGCCGCATCCTGTTGTCAAATTCTCAACAAATTAGCAGATGGCTTCATGCATCCCTCCCGCCCAGCCACAGATGATGGCTCTGACGCGCACACATCAGCGGCATGCAAGTCAAGAGCACGCAAACGCTTGATGCTCGCAGCTGTTGCGAAAAATTCCAAGTTGACCGACTGATTTATGAGTTGCACGTTCCTTTTTAAAGCTTCGCGGAGAAAAGCCATCGCGGTGCAACCTTTGTTGACGTCCACACGGGAAGTGTAAGGCGCAGAGGTGCTACGCTCGATTGTATCTGTCCTACAAATCGGGGAATTTCTTTTGCTTGTGCCTGGCCCAAACCTTCTGGCTGGCGCACGGCAGAACATCCAAAAGAGTCAAAGCGCTGGAACAGTGCAAGTCGAACTTGAGTGACATGTTTGTTGTTCATGTTTGTTTTGCAAGGCTCGTCACAGCTGCAAATGCAGTGTCTGGCTCTAGCAGATTCTAGCACTTGATTTTTCTCGAAAGCCCACCTGCTACATCGAGGTACACAGTGCGTGTGCGCAGCTTCAAATTACAAGCTGGCGCCCTGCTCTGCAGCTGAATCGCAGATTGTCCAAAACTACGTGCTCTCGCAACCATGTCCAGCAGCTTCAACATTCCATTGGTCACCTTTTGCAAACGGCGCTCCAGAGCTGAGTAGGCACAGCCACGCTTTCACGACATTTATGGCGAAACTGTTCTGGTGGTGAAAACAAAGGACCGCACATGCCCTTTTAGCAAAAGGGTTGGCAGCAATCAGAAACAGAAGAAGCGAGAAAGTGATCGAAAATCGGGCTGGAGATTTATATGTGGGGTTTTTGGGTCTCGGAGTTCGGCACCAATCCGTTCAAGAGATGCGCGTGACTTGATAAGACATCTTGCCGCCCACAGAATCATTCCATTTCTTGTATATTGATCCAGTGGCGGCTTGTTGACAAGAACCACAACCATAGAGCTGCTCCACAACTTCAACATCTCAAACTGCAAATTCACGCCTCGATTCAAAAGACATGGTGCCCTGTCCTGGCGATTCTTAAATTCAGTGTTCAAAACCAAACACGAAAACACTTTTGCGGACGAAAAAACGAAAATAAGAACCAAAAACTGATCTTCCAAACAAGAAAGAAGCCTGAAGAAGGGATTTGAAATCTCTCAAGTATTCCGACGGCTTCCTTTTCACTTGAAGCCTCACCTGAAACCCAAACCCTTCTCTTCTTCCACCCCCTCCGCGTCCCTCTCGACTTTCCGCTTTGAGGCCGAAGGTTTATAACGCCATGTACCATTTCTCCTGTGTGTGCTTGTTGAATGGCACAGACACCAGCGACACCACAAATTGTTTCGAGAGGACCGTTTCGAGAAGATGGCGGCAGTGACACAAAGTGCTTTTCATCAAACATGATTTGTTACAATGCAATCGATGCGTTACGGCATGTTCCATCATAGGAGGGGGCTGAGAAGGTTGAAGGGTTGAATGAAAAATTCAATGGACACTTCCAAGCTTCTCTTGAATGCACAATGAATAGCAACAAGCAAAAGCTCAAGCAGAGTAGCAATCAGCTTCAGAATGCAATCACTCGGTTGGGAATGTTTTCTCAGCACTTGAGCCAACGAGCATTGAGGCACCACTGTGGCAGAGGTCTAACACGGTTCCAGCCAATGCTCATTAGACAATGGCCACAACAGAAACAAAGCAATGTCATTGCAAATAGTATCAATCCACACAAATGGGAAAATATATGACTAGAAGCAATGCTGAATAGCACTTGTGCATGCAGTCACAATGCAGTGCAGCTCAAAGCGTCAAAAGAATTTGTTCGGGACAATGCGCGTCAGTTGAAGGCTCGAGTACTGTACAATCACACCATCATCCTGCCAATGCTCGAAGAGTAATTCCGTTCCAGGCGAACAACACTTCCTACAGGGACAATGAATGTATCACGGATGGTGGAGTATGGAGTTTTCTCAACCTCTATGCATTATTTTAAGTAGTCTTTTTCTCGGCCTCGAATCTTTTTCTGGACCTTCGGTGCTTTTCACCACCACACACAACAGACAACCAAAATCAAAAATGTTTTTTACACGACAAGAAAAGAAGAAAGACAAAGAAGGAAAAAAGCTGAGCATACCCCGCAGGGGCGGGTTGGGGGTTGGGGTTGAACCCAGGTTGTAACCCCAGGGGCCGGGTCCAAGGGGGG